CGTGATACTTGCTATTATGTATTTTATACATATATGTTACATTACTGTGTTTGCTGGGAACATTTCGAAACTGCCAAAGAACATCGAGAAATTTATTGTTGCCCGTCAACTGAAAGCTGTATTTAATGAGATTATTGAGAAATAAGAGAAGTTTCTTTATACATGCTCGGAAACTTAATCCGTCAGTTTCAGAAGTTGGGAAAATGCTCGTTATTTTGTTTGTAAGTACAAATGTTTCGGTGATATATTATATTTATACAAAGATGCATAAGTAGTTTATCTTAATAGTAAATAGGTATCGAGTATTATTTAAAAATTGCAATAACTCAAATTTCTTCGCGTTTGCGAATTAAAAATAACAGTAACTTTTTGTGATATTTAAATATATTGCATGTAAGTACATTTCGATATACTATACATGAATATTTTGTGCTTCTTAAGTTGATCACACAAAAATATCATGAAAGAATAGTGTATGCATATAATATCTCAATAAAATTATGCTGTCCATTATTAAATTACACAATAATTTAATGATTTTACAATTTTGGATACTTATGAGTTTATCGTTCTTTCAGTTTCTCACAGTCTTATATTATTATACGTTATTCTAAACTTATATGTGCCACAAAGTTTTAATAAAAAATAATTCCAGACTGATTGCCGGTAATTCACCGAACTATTCAAAAACGCTTCGAGAGCGATTCTTCGCAGCTGCGAGAAAACATTCCGGCGAAAGTTCACGACTAAAGTTACTGAAGAAGATTCGCCCATAGCAAATAAACTTCCTAAGGAGATCTTCCTTTTAACTTTTGACTCCTCAACCGGCTTTCTTCGGCGTAATAAATATTTGTGTGCATATTTGATGTAAAATCAAACTGTATGATTGTTTGAATACTCTTACTGAGTAAAAAAATACTTCCGGGGATTTAGATAATATTTAAAGTCAAGACAATTGCAATAAAGTCTTTGTAATTCCATTTAATCTGTTTCAGACTCCAGACGGACCTTCTATCACCGCTATCACTTATACGACCTCTCTCTTCAAGTTCATATATTTCATCGATTTCGTACTTATCCCCTGTATTCATTTCAAGTCGTTTCTCCATTCTCTGTGCTTTATTCTGCCAGCACCACTCTTCGCTTTTTCCCTTCGAAAAGTTCCACTTTTCGGTAACAAGCGCCAAACCGCGCAGGGTAGAGGCGATTAAAGTTGTTTTTCCGAGAGGCCGAAAGAAGCCGTTTGTTGTCGTTTACCGCCGTGTAGCCGCAGAAAGGGAGTAGAAAATAAGAGAAAACTGAAAAGAAAGAATGGACGAGAGAGAAAGAGAAGATACTGAAGCGACCTAGAATTGGTCCAGGCAAGAGAAAAGGGGTTGGGAAAACACGAAACACGATTCGCCGTTTTTACGGACAATCCGCTCGTAAAACTTCCACCGGAATTCGATTTGAAACTTTTCGCGATCTCATTTGTATTCTTTTATTCAATGAATCCGTTCACCACCATAGCTATGCGGTCAACGAGCCGGATAATCCGACGATACATCGTGAGCATCGGTGATAACCGCGGCGATAACGTGATGGACGATTTGTTTAAGCTGGCAAGGCTCTTCCCAGATTCTGTTTGGAAATTTACATCTAAGATTTCTACCGATGCCGATTATTTTCAACGTGAGATTAAAACTTAAATCCTTCTATAAAATTGAAGACAAATTTTATGCGATACATTTATCTTCGTAGTTCTTTTTTAACGATTCAATAAAATTTATTCCTTTGATTAAAATTTCGAAAAAGAGAAAAATATTTAAAAAAACTTGTGACAGGATGTTTCCTTGCATCACATGTTTTAAATATGTGAAACGAAACGAGCATCGCGAGCATCGCGAGATAATGAAACTTAAAAATTAATCACATTAATGATAATATTAAATTATACACATGACACGATAGAACTTTTACTAATTGAAATAATCGAAGAATCATCGTCTTACTGCACCTTTGATGTTTGCAAGTGGTCAGTTTTAATCGAATTAATAGGCTTTTCGAGAAAGGAAGATATAACGGGGACTGATCTCGCGGATGCAGTTTGTCGAAATAACCGAGGTACGGCCGCTGTTGCTGCAATTCGAGATTGACGCAGCTTACGAACGGGTAATTAATACGAACGGCAGTGCAATTATATACGCTGGTACATTAATTCGGCGTAACGCTCGCGCCGACAAACCGGCGCGCGATGTAACCGGGCGAATCAATATTTTATTCGTAATTTGTCACTCGCGCTCGCTCGTTCTCGTTACATTCGCCCGCCTGTGTATGCGTAAATACGCGCACACGTGTACACGAATTTAACGACGAGACCGACCGCGGAGTGGGCGCAATACGCGATTACCATTCAGGCAGGAATTAGTTGCAATAAATCAATCTGAAAGGTGTGAGATTTTTCCCGATGGATGGAACACAATGGCGCTCGTGTTCCAAAATAAAAAGAATCGAACCGCGGGAATCCGTATAGGGATGGACTCAAATCCAAAGTTTTGTCTTTTTATTACTTTCCATCTTAAGATTCATAAAATTTAACCGAAGCTTCAGATTACAATTTTTATTTCTATATAAAGATAAGAAAAGAGAATGAATCGAGCAGAGAGAATGAACATCGAGTAAGATTATTTTAAAAAAAGTGCGATAGTTTCTATCTGATTTTATATTTATGTCGAAAACCGCAGTCCCGCAGTCAATCATTAGTGAACAGTCAGCCATCTCCGTCATAAAGTATTCTACGATATAACTCTTTGTCAGGGGAAGCGTAAATTTTTATTATGTCTTTTCTGGAACTGTAATCTTCCCTTTTCTTGGCGTTAGTACAACAATACGAAAAGCATGAAATTACGAACTCGATCGAGTTCTACGACGTGCTTTTATTTATTTTTTTTTCCAATCAAGCGGTTTTCCTTTCCATATGATTACATTCGATTCGAATTATTTAAGAAATGAAAGGGAGAGTCTCTCTAGCTGACACTAGTCTCGAACGACACGAAATCCCCGAATACGCAATTTCTATATCGAGGTCGCTCAATTAAGCTCCTTCCCTCCCGCGTGCGGCGGCTTTGTATAAAGGGTGAATCCGGCAGGATCTAATGCTAGCGTTTCCAGGGGGGTAATTTATAGCCAGCCATTGTACTTCGAATGGCTCTCTCCCGGTATCACCGAGGATACCAAGCAACGGAAAGGAGGGAAAGAGACAGGACGACGCGGGCGGCGGAGGGGGGCGAACAACGGGACGAGCAACAGGAGAGAAAGGGAGGCAGGATCGACCGTTGCAGATACGTCTGACGGGCTAAAGGGTTGCGGGGGCGCGAGAGGACCAGGGGAGGGAGGATAGTGGCTGGCTTCTACTACTGGCAACTCGGCGGCCTTGCGTATTGTCTCTCCCATCCTACTTGCTTTACAGTCTCTCGCTTCTTTCCGCTTTACTTCGTGTTACTTGCGCATAGCGTACATATTTGCGTATCCGCGTGTTTCTTCCACTCCGCCCCGGTGTCTTCACCGAGTCCAAAACGGCCTTCAGTCTATAGTAAAATCTGCAATGTTTTCCTTAAGTTCAGGCCCCGTTCCGCCCAGTTTTTGCATCGCGTCCCCGCGAAATTCACGATTGATCCAATCAAGGGAGACACGGCGGAATGATAACCATTTATCTGCGACGTACAAAACTCACGTGAATCCTCACGATATCCGAATTATAAAAAGTTAGTAGCACGGAACGATAAATGACTGTATGATCGAGTGACAATCGAGAAGTTGCTGAAAACTATTATTTCCTAATGGGCGGACAGAATTAAATTAATTAAACGTCATGTTGCGAAAGGAATTTATCGTTTTTGTTAGCGCAGAGCACAAAAATGTACAAATATCTTTCGTATAAACATAAATATCGTCGACAGGATCGATATTTGCGAAAACTGCTCGGAGGCCCAGTAGTAGAAGTCGTCGCTGCAGTCAGACGCATCGGGCATCTCCGCCGCCGCTTTGGTTATGAATGGAGCGCGACGCGCGCCGCCGCGCGGCGTTTTACTAAAGCGCATGTGAGAACACGTGTTGATGATCGGCGTCCCGGGGTTTCAAGCGTCGTGCGTGTCGTAACGTAATGTCGCGTAGCTTCTTTGATTTATAGACGAGCCGCAGGATGTTGACATGCAGTCGAGAAATTGTCTTCAGTTAACATTGGCGATACTCAAGCCGCACGTCGTCAAATCCCCGTTCGCTCTACAGGTACGAACCTAACCTAACTTCGCTTTCCGCGGAGCGGAGCTGCAGGTTTAGGCTCCGCAGGACAGCGACGAGCGATTAGCGTTGTAGAAGCGAGATGTGGAGAATTTTAATGACCAGAGTTTACGCTGATTTTTCCAGAAGATTCGCGATTTAATAATCGACAATAATTTCAAAGTTGTCAGATCGCGCAGGGCGACGTTTTCTCGCGAGGAGGCCGAGCTGTTTTACGAGGAGCACAAAAGCAAGTTCTTTTACAACCGTCTCTTGACTTTCATGTGCAGCGGTCCATCCGACGTTCACATTCTGACGCGTCACAACGCTGTCGCCAAGTGGCGGCAGCTGATGGGCCCCACCAAGACCTATCAGGCGCAATATAATGCCCAGGATACTATCAGGGGAATGTTTGGCCTTTCGGATACTAGAAATGCCACGCACGGATCTGGTAATTACCCCACAATATCGTACATACTCGACGGAGTGCAGAACTTTGTATTAAAAGGACATTTATGTTATTCGCTCTAGATTCGACAAAATCCGCAGAAAGGGAGATAATGATATTCTTTAAAGAGTTTAATATAAGAAAGTGGTACGACAATGAAGAGGTGTTTTACAACTTGGGAAGACTGCATTTCGATCCAATATCCTTTGTGCACACCATTGACAAGACTTACATTCAGAATGAACGGGTTACAAAATAATACTGTGAAATGTTAGTTTATTAAATAAAATATTTATTATATTTTTAATAGGTGATGTCCCCATCTACAGCTGCTAGCAAAATCCAGACTGTGCTTGTATGAAAATAGTATTCAATGTATTTTTCTTTATTTCTAGAATTTCTTTAAATGCTAGACGTAGTCAGATTGAACTAGTCCATCTTTATATATGTATGTGCAAAATTGGCTATTTTGATGAGAAGTATGTACATGCAAGTAGTTTTCGCTAGTTTGCAGGATGCAATCACATTTTGTCACATTGGAGTCTTGAAACAATATACGTTTTGGATTACAACACGGACGGACAATCAATATTTCTAAACGTATACATTACATTCTGATCGAAGCAACACAATTTACGCATTTATCTTCACGTAAACCTTTGGACGCGAAAACACTTTAATCCCTTCTTCCAGCTTACTCAATTGCTTCTCTATCTCAATCTTGCGCCTTTGCGCTCTGAGAGTATCCGTTTTTATAGGCATCATGTTTAATTCATTGACGTAATCTTGATAATCTGCATTCCGGAAACACAATCCAGTGAATTTGAATCAAATATTAATGAAATAAATAATGTCATTGTTAAACTTCATTAGATACCACAGGTACGCACTTTTTTTTAATAATCGTAACGTCTCCTTGCGCTCGTTGTCAGGTAAGGGCACGTGACCGTCTGGACAATCGGAATGCAATGCTTCGGTTTTGGCCTTTTGCTCCTTTTCTTGTGCTTCCTTTCTATCTCGAAGATATCTGTTGAAAAAATGATTTAATTAATATTCAATCTTTCATTACTGCAGTAAATTGCACTGTACCGTATTTTCTATATTTATTTGTAATTATAAGAATTGTATATATAAGAATATATTTGTAATTACATTTATAGGTATATAAACGTATATTTGAAGATTTCTTGGTGTAGCTAAGTAAAATGTTAAGCTAAGAAAATGTACTGTAAAAAAGTCGATTGAGAAATAGGAAAATGATAGGAAGATTTAGTTTAAAGTCTGAAAAGAAAAGTAGTTGTAACATCGTACTTGGGCACAACTCCCTTGCGATAATTCGAAGGTGGTACTCCATTATTAAGTTGCGTCATCAACTTATTGGCAACAGAAGTGCGCTCTTTATTCAATTTGATAAAATCGATCTCTTCTTTAGATGTCGGCGACGCAGACTTTCGTAAATCGACTTTCTGCAAGTCTTCGAGACCATGCATATCACCTCTATCTGTAGGAGAATCAGATTGTTTCCGCGAGGTCTTATCCTCTTGCTTATTTAAATCGCCATTGTTCGCAGTTTCGTGTTTTGTAACGTTCTTCGATGGATACCTGTTGACAAAAATCAGTCAAGAGAAAAATGGCTCAGAGATATAAAATCTTATTTGCTAATTCTATGGTTAACATTATTAATTGGGAAATTAGTGTTAATAATTAAAAAGTTAATTAAATTATTTTAAAGTGAAAAGAAAACGCAAATTATGTATAAAAAAAAGACAACTCTTGAATCAAGAAAAAAAATGAGCAGATGAAAAGTATTGAGAATTCTATTTCCAAGTCTTTTATTTCTAGTTTATCCCACCGTAACGTACATTATAGGTATTTTTTCTTAGTATTAAATCTATGTTTCAAATATACCTACCGAATGACACCTTCAGAATATATACTTTCCAACTGATCCGTATCTAAAGTCTGAACACCCTGACTTTTACATTTACCAGTATTTTGTACATCTAAACTATGTGTAGCGTTATCGAACTTGTGTACGACATTTGGTTCTGAGGAAACCTTTGGTTGCAATTTCTGCTGATTCTTATGCTTGCCAGTTCTCCTTTGTCTGCTCGGTATATTATTAATCATTTCTGGTTCAAGAACCTTTTTGGTAGAAGCAGCTTGCTTCCTATTGTACTCCAATACATTGGTCCCATTTTGAGCCTGTTCGTCAATTACCACCTTATCACTTGACACTTGATCGACAGTATGACTCTCATGTTTCCTCTTGTCTCGAAAACTAGTGACCACCTTTGCGGATACTTTCTGATACTTGTCTGTACTCTTATGATGTTTGTGTAATTGTAACTTTTGTAGCTCCTCCACCTCTTTGCTCGCTTGGAAGCATTGCTCCATTCGCCGAAGGTTTTTCACGTTTTCCTGAATAAAGTTCTTCCTCCTGACTGGCTCTAGCAGCAACAAGCAAAGTATGCCGTGTGTTATTAATTATATTTGTCGTGCGTACAAATTTGGACTTCTTTTTTGCAGCATTTTATGAACACAAAATCTATTCCTTTGAGCTTCTGAACGACTGTTTAATAAAAGGTTTAATGATATTACTTACTAGGGTCGGGAAAAATGCCCTTTAACGTCGTTACTTTCATCCTTCTGAAAAGAACGGTATCTGCCGAATATTGTCACTCTGCTGCATTTATAATTTACATTTCGGAAAAAAGGCAACGTTTCGGGACATCCGACTGATGTGTCTCTTTACCGCATAATTTTCGTTTCGCCCACACGTCGCTTTCCTGCCGTTACCATATAAACAATTTTGTTTACATACTGGATGGTAGCTCTGTACACTTAACCCAACTGTCAAATCAGTATCGCCAACATCCAGGGTGAAGTGGTTTATAGCGACATAAGTCGGTAATGAAACATTTTTTATCGGCAGACGGTCACGGAAAATGTTCCCCAGTGAATACCGAGCATCGTTACATAATATGTTACAATTTCTCACTCAACAATGTACGGTGTGAGTTTTATTTCATGATGCAGTCTTTTACCATGAGATATGGATTACCCATAGTTATATGTATATGTTTCAATCATGTAGTGTCTAATTGTATTTTGAGAGAAATAATTAGATATTAAATGATTAAGATATGTATATAACGAAATTTTTTCTATTTTTTCAGAGTTGGCCTACCAGAGAGAAAATTAGTGGTTCTACAATTGATACCATTTCAAGAGACTGTTTTGCGCGCCTTTACGCCCATTTTTTATACTTTTGGAATTATTTTGCTATGCATCTTCTGACACTGCCGATAAAGTCACCACTTTGTGCTTGTATATGTATGTATGCTACGCATAGACATAGATGATCTTCTATGTCTATGATGCTACGCCTATTTTTCAGGATTGTGCTGTAAAATTCACATAAATTATCTGCATGATATTTTTATATCAACTTTTCTCATGTAGACAATGCAAACCCCATGTCATATTAGCATTTTCAGATAATAGTCAGAACTGCGGATTTTGAAAATTTTTACTTTTCGGGACTTTTCATTTTTCGTCTTCTTCACTTAAAGTGAAGAAGCTGTATCCTAGTCAATAATGACTCTAGCGTTTCCAGTCTTAGGAGAAATCGATAGAACTCGTCCGGGCGCATAGGAAACTCGTATCAGAACTGCGGATTTTCAAAACTTTCATTTTTCGAGACTTGCAATTTTTCGGCTACTACGTTAAAGTTGCTTCATCATTGTCAATAATGAGTTTAGCGATTCGAGTCTTAAGAGACACGGGACATTATTTATCAAGTTATACCCAGACAG